AAAGCTCGCTTTGTTTGTGCATTGCTGCCCATAAAGCAGACTTTCTTACATATACTATGTGCTTCTCATGCTGTGATGGTGGGGGAATCAATATGGCAACCACCACACAAGTTATACATACCTAAACGCCAGCCATACTCCCATGACGAAACCACTGGGTAAAGGAATTTCTCCTCAGGGCTCTTTGTGCTTCTCTCTTTGAGGTAGCGCTGTCTGCCTTTGCCTTCATAGGAGATGCCCTGGTACAGCAGCTGTGTTGTCTGTGGGGTTGGAGCCCTCATCTCTGGAAGAGCTTCCTGAAGACTCAGCCCTGTCTTCTCCTCTGGTAGTTCCTGCTGCTGCTGCTTTGGTGTAGTTCTTTCCTTACAACTGGGAAAGCTTGTCTCCTTCCTGGTGGGACTGATGGGAGGCAAGAGACTTTTCCTTCTAGAAATTCCATTGTCAGGCAGCTGCCTGGGGTATTTATGCCCATACTTTGCCTTCCAGTTGACCCTGCAAGAGGCCTCCTTGTTGATCAGTTCTCTCCAGCCATCCTGCTCTCGTGTGGTTAATAGGCCCTTCATAGCCCTGGACAGATGACTAGAGCGCAGCAATTGTTGTGTGCCTGTTATAAGTTAACGCTTCCTGTTTCTGGTGTCCAAGGAAACATGCACAAAAGAGCCAGGCTCAAATTACAGTCAAAACAGGGTCTGCACTTTGCTTCTTGCCCTCCTCCTGTTCTGTGCAGAAAAGTTGCAGGGAGGCAGGTCGTGTGTGTGAGATGCTCGAAGCCGTAGCAGGTCTGAGTTTGATGCTGTAATCAGCCAACAGGTGGAATTAATTACTAGATAATGCAATCAACTCTCTGAGCTGGCAGAGCCGGAAAATCAAAGCAAAAACAGCAAAAAGAAACATTCTCCCCTCTAGCCAGCCTGTGCTGATCTACTTGCTCTCCATGTGCACTTTGTGAAACAGGGGATTTAAAGGCAGGTGATTAAACTGAAATGTTTATGTGGAAATTAGAAGTGTTGAATCTAAGCTGCGTAGAAGCAGGCAAGGGATTTATCAAGTCTGTGTTCTTCAGCTCTCTTGGAATCCACCCAAAGCCAACCAAAGCAAAACTCAGCAGAAGCCACAAAATGTTAGATTGTCTGTCATTCCATGTGGTGCCTGCATTCTTTCCCCGACCATGAAACTGGCCTTGTGCCCCGCTCAAAACCCACCCTGGGGTTTGGATGTATTACACGGGTCTCAAATAAACTGGTTCTCTGTGTTACATAAAAGCCCCCTTCTATCATACAGTGGCCATGGCAACTGTAGAAAGGAAGTGGAGTAGAGGGGTTTGTGCACAGCATGCAATTATAGAGTGGGGAGCTGAATACATGCCAGTGTATGGTGTCTTTCTTTCATTTCCTTTGAAAAGATACCACATGGGCCCTTAAAAAGTAAGCACCTTGATTCTTTTTTTAAAGCCTTAAAAAGCACCAATAACAGTCTAGAATGTGAGCAGAGGGAGCTGTACAGAGGAGCCACTCCATACCAGCAATCTGCTACCTTCTTCCCCAATTTAACCACACTGCAAGAACTACCGTACCCATAAAGAAATGGGAAGTTTGGGTCTCTGCAGATAAGCCTTAAGTTAAAAGGTACAAGTGGTAGATCTCCACCCTAGTTTCAGTACTGAGTAAATCAATATGGAGAAGGACGTACCCTGAATACATTCATAAACTGAACTTTGACACTGAGTTATGCTGGGGAGCGGCTTGGTTTGGCAAGAACCTTTAATATACAGGTACAGAATCTCCCCACAGATCAGCCTACTTGGCAGCTGTTAGAAAATGTAACAGCCCTCGTAGATAACACAGCAACTTATCTATGGGTGCTAGCAGCAAATTGTATCTTGTGGGTTCATAAATAATATTTAGAATTTGTTGCCAAAAAGGTTGGATAAGAGGACAGGTCCAGAATACATGTGAAACATAACCTACAACCACTAGCAGACACTGGTTTTATAGGAGCCAGTTTGGTGTAGTGGTTAAGTGCGCGGACTCTAAGCTGGGAGAACTGGGTTTGATTCCCCACTCCTGCACTTGCACCTGGCTGGATGACCTTGGGCAAGCCATAATTCTGGCACAGCTGTTCTTGAAAAAGAGCAGTTTCTGTCAAGAGCTCTTCTCAGCCCCACCTACCTCACAGGGTGTCTGTTGTGGGGAGGGGAAGGGGAAGGAGAAGGAGTTTGTAAGCCACTCTGAGACACCTTTGGGTAGTGAAGGGCGGGGTATAAATCCAATCTCTTCTCCTTCTTATAAATACCAGGTGTTAATTTTTTGTTTAGATCAGAAAACAATACATTTGACCTGACATGAGATCATATCAGCATCTGCACTGCCACTGGTATTTCTATTGACTCTTATTCACATGGTGGACTTGCAAAAATTGTCATTGTACTATTTCTTGAAATGATAATTTATACCATGAGAAAAATTTTCCAGGCTATCTAAATTATATCTTTGCCAGAATTGAACATCACTGAACTGTGAACTCATTAAAAAAATTAACTCAGAAGAGAATGACCTAGACTCATTCTGGTTTTCAGACTATACCAAATTTCTTACTCCTCTGTGGGAAGAAAAATGCAATACCACTTTCTTTGATGAAACCATATGAGATCTCCAGTTTTAATCTTAATCTCACTGCTTGGAGCTCTTGGCTCTCAGGGGGCAGGTTCATTCCCTTGAGGCTAGGGAAGCTGAGGCAGAGAGACATGTTTGAGGAAGAGCCCATCAGGGATTTACCAGAATAGTCCCACTCCTGAGCTTGCTGATCTTCTGCTGTTGTGAGACTAGAGTAAGAGTCTGAAGGTCAAAGGTTGTCAGTCTAAGGAGGAGAGATGTGATCCCCTAGAAGGGACCCCTTCCTTGGGCAATAGACCAATATCCTCTCATGCCAAGGATACCCCCTGGGGATGGGGGGGGGAGTGGACTTTTGGTAGAAGGTGATTCAATTATTAGAAATATAGAGGGTGAGGTCTGTGACAGGCATTTTGACTGCATGTTGACTTGCCTGCCTGGAGTGAAGATTGCAGACATCACATGCTGTCTAGATAAGTTAACTGATAACACTGGGGAAAAGGCAGCAGTCATGGTGCACACTGGCACCAATGACATTGGGAAATACAGTTGTATGGTCCTGGAGGAAATATTTAAATTACTAGGCAGAAAGTTAAAGGCCAGGACCTCAAAGGTAGCATTCTCAGAACTGCTACCAGTTCCAAAATGGAAAGCAGATGTCTGTCCAAGCTTAGAAGAATGGGAAAATAACCTTGCTGATTATGCAGTAATGGTGAAATTAACTTATATGAGAAACAGGTCAATTTCAAAATTTGAGAAATGGAAAGTAAACAGGAGACAAACTTAGAATGAGAAATAGTATAAATTTAGAATGGAAACAATTTAAAAATTGTATATAAACATATTGTAATGCATATGGGGAGATGGAAGAGAAGCTAAAAGAAGATGGGGAGATGGAAGAGAAGCCCAATAATTTTTTTGTTTCTGTGTTCACTGTGGAAAATGTGGGGCATGTATCCATGCAACAGCCACTATTTTTAGGAAAGGAGTCTGAAGAAGTGAGTCAGACTGAGGTGACGAGAGATGAAGTTAGGGTTGCTAGGTCAGATCGACCTGGCAGCGAGTGAGGGACTTTTCGGGAGTGGGGGGAGTACGCAATGTGTGTGCAATGTAATGATGTCATGTGGAAGTGATGTCATCATGCCTGCAATGCTCTGGTATTTGGGGAAAATCTGTATGGTTACCAGAGAGTTTTGCCCAAGATACCAGAACACTGCTGTGCAGTGTTGCCAATGTGATGACATCACTTCTGCATGATATCATTACATCGTATTTGGGGGCGGGATTCCCACCAGCCAGCTGCTGATGGCAGGAAAGAGGCCCAAAAACCGGGGGACCCCCCCACCCGGGGCATGGCATCCCCAGATAAATTGCTAGGCCTACTGCTCAAACCAGTTTTGAAGGTGATCCGCAGAGCTGAACAAGGTCTTGAGCCTTGGCTTCTTCCTATTCAAGCCCAGGACTAGCACCACTTCACTACACACCAAGCCTTCACTTCTCTCAAAAGATCCAAAGACAAGAAGATGGAAGGTAGTTGCAATGAACGTGCCTTCCCACAACCACATGGCAACAATTAAGAGCTTTCAGAGACGTGGAGGCACAAGCACTACAGGAAAGAGCCATTTGAAAAAGCTGCATATCTGACCATTCATATATTTTCTCTGAGATTCAGAGTGTAACGTAATATTCATCTAGAATGTAGATGGAGAGACAGAACATACAGTTTCTAAATAAATGTCACAATATAGTGGGTGCTGTCTGCAAAGAAGAATCAAGTGTGCTCTTTCTAGCAGCAGGAGAACACATTTTTCTCAGCTCAGTTTGGGCTCAAAGCAGCTTAGCATTTCAAAAAAGAGTAACAGCAGACCAATTCTGCAAGAAATGGAAATTCAAACTATCAAATCTGTCATCAAAACTCATCTACAGGGTGGAAAGGGGTGGCAGATCAGGTGGAAGCAGTCTCCCCAAACAGGCAGGCAGGCACTCCCTTTTCCAGGGTTGGAGGGGAGCGGTAGAGTTTATTGTTCCATACTAACATTTGCAAAGTATTTCCCATACCCCTTCCCACAGCTGTCACAAGCACTGGACATAAGTAGGTCCCATGGCAGATGTGTTTTTATCATCAATGATTCTCTTGTGTTTTAGCACATTGTTTAAACTGAAGGCCATGCCTCCTGTTTTAACAGAGGGAAAGACCACATGTACACATGACACATGCATTGCTTCTGCTGTAGACTCACTTTTTGTCATCAAGTGAAACTCTGCATTTCAGTTCTTGACAGCAACCAACGACAGGTGCAGGTAGAACACATGATTACTGCAAATTGACAAACATGAGCCAGGATGCAGCAGGAACTGAGAAGCCAGTCCAAATTAGTTTTAACATGCACATTTTATTTCATGAAGCAAAACATTCACGGTTTTAATAAGTTATAAGATACAATATTACACTCTTGCATTTGTTCCAGTTTATTTTGCTTTTCCTTATAGTTTACAATGTAGTGAGTATTTCACATTAAGGCACACAGCACAGTAAAAAAATCCTTGTTACTCTACTCCCACAAGAAGCTGTGCTCAGACTTGGTGCAATGATACACAACTACAAAAATAAAGCTGATCAGATAGAAATCTCTTGCCAAACGGTGGGGAGGAGGAATTATTTCCATTGAGTTCCTTTTTCTATTAGGCACATTTTAAAGCTTGGAGAAACAATATCTACTAAAAGCTTTGTCTTAACCGTTAGTTCTTGGTGTAGATTAGAATGCTCTTTAAAATAACCCTTCCAGTTGAGGAGATAAGGTATGTGCTTATTTTCTTTATCCCAAACAATTAAGGGGATAAACACAGAAAGCAAACTAGGAGTGAGCCACAGTGAATTCCTTAGACTAACCTTTTCACAGGACAATTTTTACCATTACCAGGATTACCCAAAGATTCATTTCTTAATAGTCGACTGCCCAGACTAGTTATCACATCAGTGGGTAAGTAAGTGCAAGCCATGAACTGAATTTTACCGACCTGTGTGGGAGCTGAACTTCTTTGCATTATAACTGATATATGAACTGCATAAGAGCATAAATAAATTCATGTTATATGCAGAAACAAGGAGTGATTAGAGTAAGACCAACCCGCAGGTTGCAACTGAAGTGTTGCGACTGATGGTGTCCTTGGGAACCCAGCAGTATCAACTCAACCCACCCCGCATCCCAACAACTATGGTTAAAGCAAGTAAGAACCGTAACCCACACAGAGCATTTCTGATTAAAACTTCCAGAACTGATTTCTTAACCTTTTGGCCCGATATTACCTGGGTTAACCAGCTGACCTAATACAATTTTCTACTTTCCCCTAAATGTCAACAGCCAAGTATTGTCTGTTTTAGTGTTATGCTGTAAACACTATTTTGAGTTCACTGTTAGGTATTAAGTCAATCAAGTATACAAAAAGGCACATTAAGTACCAGTTTTACCTCATTTCTTTACAAACTGTAAACTGGCAACAGCCTAAGTGATATTCTACAGCTAAATGTAAGAGTTTCCAGTCAAGAGTCCATCACAAGTCAGTAGTTTAAGATACCCAATTATCTAAGATAAATTCCAGTTTAACATAGCAAATCTAAAATCCATGAAAGGATAGTGCCCTGCCATTACATGATTCTTGCATATTGATTCAGAACAACAGAATTTGAAGAGGGCATTACATTTTATAACAATGATACTCCAGACAAAATGGAATACACTAAAAATAGTTACAGATTTTCGTTTGGGTATGTTAAAATATGATCTGCATTCTGGAAAACACTATTTCTGAACAGGATTGTAGTTGTAGAAAAGTAGAACTTTGACACAAGACAATCTTCTTAGGGAACAGTAACATGGAATGGGCTTCCAGGAATGTGCTCTTCACCCCACTTCACAGCCAGAATATAGTCACCTTTCTCCTTGACAACATATGTTACATTGTACTGCTGGCTGCCCAAGTGTTTCACAGATATTTCTTCACAAGGAGTTGTAGGTCCATGGACACCAACTAACAACATATTGGAACCTACGGCACAACAGGTAGATAGTTATTATCACTTAACAGGAGCAGAGCTTGACTCCAGCAATACTCAAAGATACAACAGCTTTAAGCTATCTAAAAACTACTCTTCTCAGTAGGCTAACTAAGCAAAATATTCTGCAGTAAAAGAACCATGTAACTCTATTAAGTAGTCTGCCAGTGCTCAGACTAGATGCTCATTTAAAGGGCACTGAGAATGGTACATTATGTCCAAGGGTGTTTACAGTATATGGCCCCAACAATCCATTGTTAATGGCCATTTCACTGTTTCGACACCTATTAAGAAAGGGCTGGACATTTACCACCCACATCCTCCAGCTGAGCTTTTTGCCTTTCTTTTAATCATTATAGACCAGTAGGATATCTGTATGCAGGATATCTGTACATAACACTCTACACAATAGTAGATTCATAGAGTTGGAAGGGATCTCCTGGGTCATCTAGTCCACCCCCTGCACAATGCAGGAAATTCACAAATACCTCCCCCCACCCCCAGTGACTCCTGTTCCATGCCCACAAGGTGACAGAAGAGTACAGTAAGGCAAATTACCTGCTTTGCTGCTGTCTACAGAAAAGGAATTTTTCTGACCCACAAAAGCTCTTGAAAGCCCTGCTCCTCTGGAGGTAACTTTGCTTGCATCAGATGAAGATTTGGGAATGGCACTGTAGCAGGTGTCTGTTGTTGACCTGGTCACAGACTCCACCATGATTGAGGAAGTTTCATTTGAGATCCCTGGGCTAACTAGCCGCTGACCTAAAAAAAGCAAGATAATTCCTACATTATCCAAGAGCATAGTTTCAACAGTATGGCTACATCTGGCTGCTTCCAAACACAAAGAGATTTCAGAGCTACATTAAAAACACAGATGACACTCTCCGCCCTTCTGTACTTCTGGATCCCCCCACCCCACCCCAGCAATATACATGTTGGCAACCATGGCTCACCAACCTTACCTGTCACTTTTGCCTTGAAAGGGCTCCCAGCTATATGATTAGGCCCTCCATATTTAATTCCAATTAAATAGTTTCCTGGAGCCATAGGTGTGTACATCACTTTGTAGCCCTCTGGAGCTTCCTGGCAATCCATTTTGACCTTTGATGGACCCTCAATTGTAACTGCAAGGGTACCAGGCCCAGCTTTTGTAGTATTTATTGTAAATGCTGATTGTAACCCTGGAAGAACAGAGTGCAAAGACAGATGGGCTCAATCACATGTTTGGCAAGTGCACACCAGTAACAGCCATTGTAAGCCACAAGTTGACATTTATATCCCAAACAGTAGTCTCAAATGGTACTCAAAGCACACTGAACACTCACAGGAGGAACATGTCTGGCTACAGCTCCTGGCGGGTATGTTTAGACATGCCTCCTCTTCAGTCTACAGGCATTGAGCAATGGTTAGAAACATGAGGTCCCGGGGGGGGGATGTCACAAGAATTGGGGGGGATGGGTTCTAACTCCCCCCAGTAGAAAATGAGAAATTTGGGGGAGCACCGAAAGAAACTCTTATCCTGCGGACATACAGCTTTTTCAAGAATGTTTTTGTTTAAATGTAAATAATTTGGGCAACGATTAACATGAGTATTTAATGATACTACTGTAAGCATTCAGTGTTTTCAGCATTACAAGGTTTAGCTTAGTATCCAAATGTGCTGCTAGTCCTACAAGGACTTTTATGAGTGAGTTCGTCTTTTTAAAAAAATCTGTTTTCTTTTGCTTACTACAGAATTTGTTTTCTACCTTCTATATTTTTTCCTCCTCTCAGATGGCAAAGATTAACGAAATCCGCTATGGTAGCGCATAGTACGACATTTAGCAGCAACGCTTTCTCAGGAATCAAGTACACTTGAAATTTCTTATAGGTGACATTTATACATTTAAATTCCATAAATATGCCAAATAGTGGAATTTTGTATGCTAATGCATTATAAATTATTCCCCAAAACCTAGAAAAAATGTTTTAACCTCTCCCCCCACACACACACCCCCTGTGGCTTAAAAAGTTCCAGAAAGCTTCTATTGACAATTCTCAAGCAGCTGTTAAACAGATTCTAAGCTCATCTGGTAACAGGTCAGATCCCTTTTTGCCAAATCTTCCTTTGATGGAGACTGACCACCTCCAAAGGAAGACTTTGGTGGAAGAGGGTTAGTGGATCCTAGCCACAGCCTCATTAGACTTTCTACACTAATTTTTTTAAAATCTAAGGCTGCCTCTGGTCTGTCCCAGTACACAGTCTTTGTATAGGAAAGCAGACAGCACATCCCATTAAAAAAAGGTAAGCTACTGCTACCTGATGGACTGTACTGTTTTTATGGACTGTTAGCTGCCTCAGAAGCCTGCCTGAGAGGCAGGACAAAAGATTTTAATAGCCTTGATGTGCGGAAAGCCACTTATTTAAAGTCAAGGTATAAAACCCTTGCATTTATCCTACAGCAATAAAGAGCTTATGTACCTTTTATGTTCACTCCCCAGGTACAAGTTCAGGAGTTTAATAAACTGAATAGAGTTTCACCAGCTCCACTTGACAGTGTTACCAGTTAAGTGGTGACTCCATACTTTACACAGAATATTTCAGGAAATACCTACTCATTCACATGAACTCAGTATTCATTTCCTGCTGACACCTTACTAGCTAATGTCTGTGAAAGCACCTTTGGTTTAGAGTAAGTGAATCTCTTGCCACAGGGAAATGTGCATGCAAAATGACACATCACATACTTGCGTAAAACAACAGGAAAGAGAAACTCAATTGTCCCTGGTGATTCAGGATGACACTGCAAGTGCCTATTCATAAAACTTTGCAAATGTTTCTTCATCCAATGGTATTTGAAAGACAGGCCAGATAACTAGCTCCATTTTTACAGCAAATGAATCCAACTGGATAACCAAGTTCTAAAAATAAACACTGTTTTCATGGCTGTCTAGAAACTACTACAGCTCTGACTGTGGTAGAACAGTCCAAAAAGCTGAGTCAAGTTGGCAGATAATTATTCTGCTGGTAAATTGGCAGCTGATGTCTCCCTCATTTGCCAAAATCCAGTTGATTTAATTTAGTTCTTTTTCCAAGCCTTTGGAGGGAGCAATGCTTAGATACCACTTTCATCTCTGAAGTATTCTGTTAGACTGACATAGGCCACATTTGTCCTGGATTTCTTGCTTAACAACATTGCTAACCTGAACTGGCATGTCAACTTATGAGAATTGTTGCTCAAATTAGTTTTGACATTTAGTTCTGCAGCTTCCTGGATATCGGCTCTTTCCAGTTCACCTTCATAATTCAGTCTCAGAGCTACAGCATATATTAAAGCAGTAAGGCCAAGCACTTAAGTAAGGCTGATACATTTTCACAATTTACTTAATTTACTTATCAATGTTCAGAGGAAAGGATTACCTGTTATGCCACTTTCAAGACCTGGACCGTAGGCAGTGACAAGTGCTGGGCTTTCCACTTGACCTGGCTCCCCCACTCTAACTTTGAAAGGACTGCCTACAACGTGGCTTCCATTGAACTTCACATCAATAGAATGAATACCGTTTTCACGTGGGATGAAACGAACAGCGTACTTATCTGAAACACATATGCAGGCAAAGAATTCGTTTCTTGAATTATTTATTTTTATTTTTCACATTTATACCCCGCCCTTCCCAGTGGGCTCAGGGCGGCTTACAGAGGCAAGGCAGAACCTTGCCATAATAAACCATAATATACATAATAATTTAAAAACATATAATACATCTTAAAAGTACTAAATAAAAAGTGGTGCTCAGTAACTTCCATAATCCGGAGATGAAGGATCGTAGGTCTGAAGTTCCAAGTGGACGGCTTAGGGCTTCTTCCATTCAGGTGTTTCCTCAGGGCCTCATCCAACCCATAACGGTGGTGGCATAGTAGGGGTGGCGGCTCCTACTCAAAAGCCTGGCGGAAGAGCTCCGTCTTGCAGGCCCTGCGGAACTGCCCAAGATTCCGCAGGGCCCGGATCTCTCCTGGGAGCTCATTCCACCAGGTAGGTATTCTAGAACTCCCATTGCATTCTGACACAAAATACCTCACTTCCCAAACAAGGCTGCATAAGCATTTAAGTTTTAATTTAGACCGATTTAATCTTGAATCCTTGAGGGCAGATTGAAAAGCAATCACCACCATGTGAAGACATGCTTACAGCCACACTTCGCCCAGACAGATGGGCCAGGGGGTGGTCTAATATTGCAAGCTGACCAGAACACAAAACAGCCTTTATAAAACTTGTTCACATAGGTCTTCCATATAAGTGTTACATTTTAACCTTCACAATTAAATTGGCCTTTAATGAAAAATATGTTTCTAACCCAGGCAAAGCCCGATTTCATCAGATCTCGGAAGCTAAGCAGGGCTGACCCTGGCAAGTACTTGGAAAGATGACCTCCATGGAATACCAGGGCCGGGACACAGAGGCAGGCAATATCAAAGCCACCTCTCTTAAACGTCCTAGCCCCACTACAGGTCGCCAAGAAGTCACCATGACTTCCAGGCTCACAAGCACACATACACGAAAATACTCATACAAACACACAAAAAACAAATATGTTTCTATTAGCTTGTTACCCCACCCACCCCCAAAAGGCTAGCAGCAATAATAATCTCCTATGAGGTGGTTATTTGCAACAGTAGACAGCTAAAAAAAGTTGTTCCATGAGAAGTACAGTACTAGTTGTATTTGTATTTAAATAAAGCACACTTTATTCAAACTAAGTCACAGTTGAGGTTAGGAGTAGCTTAAATCACCCAACAAATGCCTCACTGGGATACCTCTGAGGAGAGGGTCTTTCCCTCTCAAACCTCGCAACACATTTATGACCCAGTTCTAATAATACATCACAGAGAGGCCGATGCCTGGAATGCCTTCAACCGATTCCACTCTTGTGCAGGACCAGAAGTCTAGCAGAACAGGCACATACTACTTCCTCCATGTGTTGTCAGTGACCGGGGGGGGGGGCAGGAGCCCAGTGGCCTGAGGGATGGCAACAACGCTCAGGAGAGAGGAGAATGTGGCAAGGCCAGGAGGCACACTTGAGCCAGCTCCACTGATGTCGATGCAGGGAGAGGCCGGAGAGCCATGGCAGCCATGGTAACAGTAGCAGATATGGGTGGAGAGAAGCTGCGTTGGGCCTGGTGGCAAGGCTGGAATATGCATCTGACCTGGCTACACTGGTGGTGATGGAGAGTGGCTGGGAGCTGCTGTTGCCCTGACGACAGTAACAGAGATGGGGGAGAAGTAGCTGCAGATCTGGCGGCAAGGCCAGGAGACGTGCCTGGCCCAGCTTATTGGCAGCAATTGGTGAGGGGTGGCCAAGCAGCATTCCCATTCAGGGTGGTGGGGAGGCCAGTAGTTACAGTGGGCCCAGAAGCTGTGATGGTCCCAGCAGCATTGCCATTATGTGTGGGGAGAGCCATAGTGAGCCTGGCAGTATCACTGGGGGGTGGGGGTGGCAAGAGCTGCAGCCCTCCCAGCAGCACTGCCATTCATGAGGGGCAGAAAACTAAGGGGGTGGAGAGATCCCCCCCGTGAATATTGTGGGCTCCACCTTGTGAAAATATGTATTGAATGGCTGTTGTCAATACAATTCAGATGTGTATCTTTATCACAGAAGGTCCTCTCACGTGGATAAAACCACCACTAGGATATTGTTCAATAATTTAAAGGTGTTGAAGATTGACTAGCACATGCACTTCAGATTATAAGAGGTTTTATTCAGCTCTGGTCAACACTGTGGTCTAACCCCTTGTGAAAAACAGCTGCATGTATCTGGGTTCCAAAAATGGCCTAGGCAATGGCTGCAAGTCTATTTCTAGCCAACTACAAAGTCTTTTGTTTGACTGTTAACTCTAGCGCAACATTTCCCACACATCCTTACCTTGTTCCAGTTCAGAAACATGACATTCTTCTACAGCGCCTATCGGACTATGCACTTTAGCATCAATCTTGCCCTTTGCCCCATTTAGCCTTATGGCAAAGGATGCTGGCTGGTTAACTTTCAACCCAGACTCCTATGAATAAGATATTAAGATTACCGTATTTTGTTTGCAGGATATACACAGTTGTCTCTAAAGATTGTAGTGTTTTTGTACCTTGATTAAAAAGCAGCAAAATACTGACATTAATTATAGCAGAGTTGTACACACCTGCAGTGGAATTTACATATGAACAACTGCTTAGTTTAGCCGTATCCGAAACTATTTTGGTTTTATGCAACCTAAATTTCAGCATGAGTAAACTAGAAACACCACCCCCCTATTTCTTTGAGAATTAAACTAGGAATAAAAAACACTGGATAATCTCATGTAGGTTTGTAGAGTTGCACATTCTCTTGATGAACCAATGTGCCTGGAAGGCATACACAACTTTGTCAGGTAGGAGGATCACTGGGTATGGCTTACAAAAACCAGTTTGCTCCATCTATTAGAGAGACTCTATCCAAGACAAGCCTCACTCAGTTAGCAAGCAGCACTGCTTTTCTAAAGAATACCAGCACAACAATTTAAAAAAATCAAATCTGTGTTGCTCTAGTCTTTACACTTCCCTATGCTAAGCCTGCTTATCTTTCAAATGAATTTCATGTCTCTAACAGTAAGACTGAAGTCAGTACAAAAAATTCAAACAACATTTCTGAAAGCATACAAGTGCAACGCTTTGTTTGGGGACACAGCTTACCTGAAATGCCATTTTACAGCCTTCCCCTCAAGAGAGAAATAGCAAAAAATTCAAACAACATTTCTGAAACCATACAAGTGCAGCGCTTTGTTTGGGGACACAGCTTACCTGCAATGCCGTTTTACAGCCTTCCCCTCAAGAGAGAAATAAATGGAAAATGAGCAAAAGCATGGCAAGTAGACCCCCAGAACAAACGATCTGAGTGCTAAAAGCCCAGCTTCTGCAACAGCATCATCCTGTCCCCCACCCCTTACCCTAAGCAGTTTTATTTCCCTCTTTAGGGTTTAAAGCCAGCTGACAAACATTACTGTCGGGAGTCTTTAAGTGAAACACAAGAAAATCATCAGTACCACAGCTGATTAACATCCTTGTACCTCACTACATTTTCTTATATACTTTTCTTATAATCTTTCCAGCCAAATCTCACTAAAAATCAAGTACCAGCACACAGACTGCTACAAAAAAAGTAGGTCATAAATACTGAAGTAAAGGGTAGGAATGAACTTCCCGAATATGGCAAAAGCCTACATAGACTAGCTGGGTGACGCTCAGTCAAAACAGAAGCAACTTGGAAGAGGCTAGGTTTTAGATGGGCATTCTGGAGAGGGTTTACTTGCATTCAGTAACAGGAAAGCCACAAAAAAGCAAATGGCTGAATATGAACAGGCATCTACAAATGAGAACTTCCCCCTGCATTTGGCTGCTGCTTCGGAATGATCTGTGCCAGTGAGAATTATTGTGCAGTGCTCTCCAAGGGGCCCCCATCCCTTCACTCATGCGCATCTCAGAATACACCTAAGGTAAATGCCTTCACACTTGCCTGTGCAGAAGTGACAATGCTATAGCTGCACTCCTGCAAACCAATTTATAATACAGCCATCACTTCATCACTTATCACTGGCTGTTATCCTAAACTGTAGTATGTAAAGAGGAAGACAAAATAATGATAGTTAAATATGCCAGGGTTTGCAGAACTACAGCTTTGTGCTAGTGTACAGCACAGTGGAAGCCCATAGCTTAACTGAAAATGTACTAGCTTCCCTCTTTCCTATCAGATGCCTTTCTGGAAAGTCCATACTTTCTAATACCAGACCTTCTTCCAAAGTGCAGCAGTAACTGAGTATTATAAGAGCCCAAGAACAAGGATGAACTCAGACTGTGGTAAGTTACTGAGATGTTTCCTTATGTCTCACCTGAAGGCTCATAACAGTGAGCCTACGAGCATCATCTGAAGGAGCTATCACAGGAACCAAGTAAGGACTTTCTGGAATATGCTCGTCGTTGAATTTGATGGACACTTCGTAGTTACCTGAAAGAGATACAAAAAAAATGTCTAGGGAAAAGTAGAAATGCAGAGGTTTTGTTATCAGATTTGATTTCACAAATGGGTTTCTACTCATTACATTAACACATAAGATGCATACCCGGCTCTTGAGCAGTGTATGATACACCGCAAGATCCATCCTTATGGTCTTCAAAAGCAATTTCTGCCTTACTTGGCCCTTCAACTGCGATTGACAGCCCACCAGCACCAGCTTCTCTTGTCCATATACTGAATTCAGCTGTTGGACAACACAAAAAAGCAGCAACTTATTTTCCTGTTAGTTAACAGGCATGAGATTCTTTAATCCCTTTCTTGTGGCACTGGGATTATGCACATGTGCACACAGAGTCAGGGCAGCATTCCTGAACTGCACTCCAGTGGATTGAGTCTTCAGAGTTCAGTTCTGCCTTCAATCCATGTTGCTACTGTTCTTTTCAATACAAGAATGTACAGACTCTCACACACTCAGCCCTGAATGCACATGTCTAGAACAGGAATCTGGCATAGGCCTTACCTGGGATGCCTGCCTCGGCTCTTTCAAGTCCTGGACCACCAGCTCGGACCTTATTGGCTCCTCCTTCACCAAGTGGTCCAACAGTGAACTGAAATGGACTGCCTGGCACATGCTGCCTTCTGTATTTCACTTCCACAGTATGGACCCCCATTTCTTGTGGTACAAAGCGGACACAATAGGTGTCTTTATCGTGCTCTACTACTTCAGCATCAGTAGATCTTCCTGATGGGCTAGTTACACGGGCTAACATGTCACCAATGTCTATTTCTAAAAGATAAGCATCCAAGATTAGTGAGGAGCAAGGAAGATGTTTAGTTAACTAGGATAAGAGAGCAAAGCTACTACATAATGAGAATTACTGCACACATTCTTGAACAGAGCAATGTTTCTGAACAGTTTGGTAATACAAATTGATATATGGTTAATGGAACAAAAGAGATTTATTTATGAGCTCCACTATTTGTGTTTGCAACCTACTTGCTGCTTGTTGTGGCTCAATGCAGATTGTATGGAACAACCTCAGTACCAAAGCAATACTCACTAACCCTACTGAAACATACATGTACTATTTCTGAAGATCCCTAACACAGACAGATTTGAAAGTTTGTCATCTTATGTTAGTCGGGATAATATAATAGGACACCAAGGTTCTCTCAGTGATGTTGGGCACTTTCTGGCTATTCTTCTTCCATTCCATTTCTCCCCACCAAGCCTGTGGAGGACACCTTAAGCAAACACTCTCATTGCAACAACTGAAGACATACATGCTGACTATGATTGTAGTAACATACCAAATATTAGAATATTAGTCCAGTGACTGATTGAAGTGCTGGACTTTACTACAGCTGAACTAAATGTCATGCTTATTAAACTGTGGAATTCACTGCCAGGGAGGTAGTAACTGCAGGCACAGATGGCTTTAAAAAGAGGTTAGACAGATTCATGGTCCATCAATGGCTGCTAGCCATGGTGACTGAAGGGAATTGCCATGTCTAGAAGGAGCAGACCTCTGAATATCAGTGCTGGGAGACAGCAGCAGGGGAGGGCCTCTGCGCCCTGTTTGCCCCTGAGGACAACTGGTTGGCTGCTGTGCGAAACAGAAAGCTGGGCCAGATAGACCACTGGTCTGATCCAACAGGCTCTTCTTATGTTCTTAACCTTAGACAAGTTATGGTTATAAGCAATGTACACTGGAAATACCAGTGTGAACAAAGGCACCTTTCCCTGGTCTCTTGAAGTCAAGTGACAAAGCATTTTTAATAGATGACCACACAGAATGCTAAGGCAATTCACATATGTGCTTTTCCTACATTACTTTACTATATTAGTTTGTACAGGAACTTAGGTTGTGTAAGAGGGCCTAGTGTTTTACATAGTTCCCAATCGTACTTTGCATGCTATTAAACTACACATACCTGGAATTTTTAAGTTAAGGTCACATAGGCTTCCTACAGTTGCTACAGAGGGAGCTCGCTGGGTACGTGTGATGCTTTCCTTTACCCTTCCTTCACCACTTATTTTTGCAGTAAACGGGCTACCTGTGATTCGTAGAGACAAGACAATTTTGGCTTTATCACAGTAAGAAACACACAACAGAGAGCTGATCTTCCATTGCTGGCTACAGAACACTATCTTTACAGCCGTTTATCCCATTAAGAGAGACTGGGCCACCATATTTTCAACTAAATATGATCGCCAACTTACTAGTGAATAGTTGTAAACTACTTTAGCTGGTCTCCTACTTCATGCCAATAATCTCTGTCACTGCTAATTAGAACAGCAAGTTCTATACTTCCAGAGATTCATTCTCTCAAATAAGTATTGGTTGCCTGGGCCTAAAAAACATAATTCTCACTATAAGATGTTTATTCCATCTAGATGTTCCTTCCTTACATATCTTCAGAACATCAAAAACCTGACTAGAAACTTAACCAATTTCCAAAGGCCAGCAGAAATGCAGCTCTTGCTCTTCCTCCGACTATACAGCTCTTTCTTTTACCTGGAATATGTTCATCAGCAAACTTAGTAGACACTATGTAAACACCAGGCACAGTTGGAAAGTATGACACTCTGCAGGTCCCATCATCTAGATCTTCTGTCTGGATATCTACTTTACTAGGTCCTTCAACTGCCAGTGATATCCCACCATAGCCTAGAAAAAAGCAGCTTGAATTCATTGGGGTTCCAAAGCAGGTGAGGTTTAAATATTTAGAACACAGTTGTCATGTTTCAAGCATTACGTGTGAAGAAGTCATTTCATTAAGTGTTAATGAGTTATTTCAAGGAACAAAATCTGCCCTACATTATGACACACATCACAAAAGGTGCCCTGTGTTCTACAACCTCTTGCCCCAAAAACTGAAAGACAGAATTAGAACTCAGATATTTAGTTCTTTTGGTGGAAACAGCCAATAGGCTTAACTGATTTCTAGGATATTGTATGGCATAGACCAGGTATGTCCAACAGGTAGATCGCGGAGGGGTCAGAGGTAGATCACCAGCCCCACTTGATCTCCTGGTTTGCTGGACAGGTGTTTGGGCTTTTTTGTTTGGTGGTATTTGATTATTGGTGCCAGTATGATGAATTCTTATTTTTACTTTTAGAAC